TCTGTTTTGGTTAAAGTACCGAACCAAGCCGGTCAGCCACCCCATGGTGCATTACCAAATTAAGCGCACACTGCGCAGACTGCGTTCGGCAGCTTGCGCCGCATTTGCCAGAAGACGGCCGCCGCGCAGCGGAGCTTCTGGCAGATTGGCGGCGCACAGTTTTCCGGTGCGCACCGGAAACGTTGGAGCGCAGCAAAACTTTTAATGTGCAAATTGCCGCAACTGCTGATTTAGTCTTGTATTTCGAAGCTAAATTTTGAGCGATATTTTCGAGCGATCGAGAGCGAGCCTGCGTCGCCTCTTTCGTCGATCGTTCATGCGTCTCACCTAACCTGCATGGAAGGCCGATGCGACCCGTTCAAGTCTTCCCGTTTCCGGCTGTCGCTGGACCACCCGAGCACGCCGGACATCGCCGTGCCGAAGGCAGCCAGCCGGCTCTCGCTGACGGAACCCACGCCGTGCGCAGTCGCGCGGCTGAACCGTCTGACTGCTGAAGAGCAGTCCTGTCGGCCGGATCGGCCGAGTTTGAGCGCTGTGCCGCCCGACTCGCCGCTGATCCTTTCGAGCGTCAACCGCAACGCGCAACTGTCTCGTTTCGAGCAGTTGAAAAAGCGGCTGAACGAGGACATTGAGCGCATCAACTCGCTGAGCTCCGAAATCAACCTCAGTCAGGATGTGCTCAAGCTGAAGCCAAGTCCTGCCATGCGTTGCCGCAAGCCGTTAGCGGCGAACTTCGCTACAGACGGCGCGGCTGAGCCCGAGTTGAACAGCTTTTCTCGCCAGCATGCGTTTCCCCGCTTCGAGTTCTTTGGCGCGACGCCTTGCGCGCCGCCTGCAGTCGCTGCGCGGCCGGCGCGTAGGCTGCGGCAGTTTGCCGCGCGGGCGGCTGCAGCTGCAGCGACGACGCTAGGCGTGCGTGCGCCGGACGCCCTGGCGAGAAGGGTGCGCAGCTACTACACACGGGGCACGGTTCGCAGGAGTTTGTACGCAGCAGTTCTGCTGGCTGTGCTCTTCTGCTCGGGTTTGCTGCTGATGCAGAGCGTGAGCGTGCCAGCGTTGACCGGCGGCCGCGCTGTCGGCGCGGAGCGGCGGCTTCCGTATTTCTGTCCGAACGGCATGAAGGGTTCGTACTGCATTCGGTGCCCGTACCGCGCGCGTTGCAAAGAATTCCAGTCGGTGTGCCCGCCGGAGCACATTTTGACGAAAACGCTGTTCGGCGCGTACGAATGCAGGCCGTTCGCGAAGCAGTTGGATCGCCTCGTTTCCGATGGGCTGCAGCGCATCCGCAAGGTGCTGCTGTCCGAGCGCGCGGTCGCGCAGCCAGCGCGCGGCCGCCCAGCGCGGCCGCTGATGGCGTTGTTCAACGAGCACGTGAAGCGCTTCGCGCCGACGTGCTTCAACGCGACCGAAGTCGAAGAAGAGCTGCAGTGGAAGTTTCTTGCAGTCGTGCGCCGCGAGTCCGCGCTGGCACAGTACGGCCTGAGGTTCGACAGCTGCGGCGAGCCGCACCTGGTGTTATCGGGCAAAAATTTGGGCAGTTACACAAGGCTCGCTCTTGTGGCCGTGCCGCTGCTTGTCGCTGCGGCTGTCACGGGCGCGTGGCGCTGCAAACGCCGCGCGCCGCGCAACGCTGAGCCGCGAAACGGAAGATTCTAATATCGCGTTTTGTCTTATTTTCAAATAGCAAAAGAAATGCCTGCAGTTCAGCCCGTTGACATCAAGTCTAAGGTTGTCGAAGACAGCAGCGTGACTTTGGCCAAGGTCGTCGAGGTGCGCGGCCGCACCGGTTCGCGCGGGAACGTGACCCAGGTGAAGGTCGCGTTCGTGCGCGACGGCCGCTGTCTGATCCGCAACGTCAAGGGCCCCGTGCGCGTGGGCGACCTGCTCTCGCTGCTCGAAGACGAGCGCGAGGCTCGCCGTCTGCGTTAGGCGCCGGGGCGCAGCACCAGGACCGCGTCCCACGTCTCTTCTCCCTCTTCGCGCGAGACGCTGCAGGGCGGCGCGAGGAACTTACAGCTGCGAAAACAGTTCGTGCTTGCGCGCATCGCTGCACGCGCCGAGTCGCGGGCGCACGAAGAAGCCGTTGGGCGAAGTGTAACTTTCAAATCCTTATTTGTGATAAATGTGATAAAGCTCCCCGACGCACTCGAACGCGAACTGTTCGGCGCGTACGTCGCTCGGCAGGTGCGCGAAGCGGACGTAGATTTCTTCAGCGTCGCCGACTACGCGGGAGAAAGTCTGGCTCTCTGGCGCGCGGAAGGCCGGGGCGACGCCGAGATCGAAGTGCGCAGCGCGCGCGCCCATTAACGCAGCCGCGGCCGCGAGCCGCGCGCAGCTCCGTCGCAGCATCTTGCAGCAAGCTGATTGTGCGTTTTGCAGTTTAATCTCGCGCGACGGCGCTACGCGCGTTCGCGGGCCTCGCGCGGCGAGGCGGAAAGGTTGAAAAAGCCGTTGAGGTACGCGGCAAGCGTGGAGGGCGCGCGCTTTGACGGCGCGGCGCTGGGCGCGGGTCGCGCGGCCTGCGCGTTTCTGCGGTAGGTTGCGAAAAGCCGCGTGCGCCCGCGCGGCGGCAGCACGGCGAACGCGCCGCAGCGGAGCCGCCGCAGCAGGTCGCGGATCTCGGCTTGGTGCCCGTCAGCCAGCGCGGCGTTTGGCACGCAGAGAAACGCGACGCGCGCGCGGTAGAGCTCGAGCACTGTGCCGGCGCCGGCGTGCGAGAGCACGAAGTCGAAGCGTGGCAGCAGCGCACCGAGGTCTGGCAGAAACGCGCAGCAGAAGAGCCCCGCGTCGGCACGCTCAGCGACCTCGCTCGCTGCGTCGCGCGACGCGTCTTGGCGCTGCGAAGTTTTGCGCGAGCCGCTCGCGGGCTGCGCCGCGTCGAGCGCGGCGAAGCCCAGCGCCGCGAGTTGCGCGCGCGTTGCCGGCGCGGCGCGCCCGCACTGTACGAGCAGCAGCGCAAACTCCGCGCGCCAGCGCGCGAGTTCAGCGAGAAAGGCGCAGATGAGCGCGTCGAAGCTCGTGGACCCAACAGTCAGCAGGAGGCGCCTGCGCGCGCCGCGCGCGACGGCGAAGTCAGTCAAGCTCGAGAATATCGCCGACGATTTTCGGAATTTCGGCGCTGCGAATATCGCGGACCGTCACGGCGCCGTTGGCGGTCGCCAGCGCGCAGACGTCGTAGGCGACTTCGCCGGTTTCGATGAATTGGATGTAGAACTGGGCCGCAAGCCCCGCGAGGATCGGCGCAAACGCTGCAGACGCTGGCGCGGCCTTTGGCGACTCGCAGAGTAGCGGCTCGCCGAGGTGCTGCACGACGTCGGCCGGCGTGAGCGAGCCGCCGGGCCGGCGCTCGCAGTAGAAGCCCGCGAAGTGCGCGGAGCGGAACTGCCGGACGCCCAGCCGCGCGCGCGCCGCGGCCGCCGCGACGGCTGCCGGCAGCGCGGCTGCGCGCGGCAG